AATGTTGGGAGTGGGAGATATTGGGAAGGGATCAGACAAGATAAGTGAGGGAAGCCATCGACATTTCCCCACCCAGAATTACATTGTTTGCATGTAAGTATGTGTGTCCTGTGCATTGCTTGCAGTGGCATTCTGTGTCATTGTGTCACTCTCTTTGTTCCTGTGACTTTTTCTGTTTCACGTACCTTGCTGCTGTCACTGTTTATCTGCGCGTGTCATACATTTTCTGCTGTCACAGTGTCAGACGGGAAATGTCCCTCTGCTGACCCTATCTGTCAGTGTCATGTCTGTATTGTCAGCCCCACTCTGTTTGCCTCAGGTTTTTCTCTCTCGCCAAACTATCTTCCTCATGTGTATCCTGTATGTCCACATATTTCTCTAGGATGCAACTCATTCGTGTCACAGTGCTGTACAGGTCAAGTCCTGAAAATACAAGTATCCTCAGCATCGCTAGTCTTTCCCATTTGCTAAGTAATTCACATAATCCCGCTCTTACTTATCTAACCAAATACAAGTTTGATCCTAAAGTGTCTAAATATGTATGATAGTGTGTTTTATCAGTATATAATATTCTCCTGATAATGTCCCTTCAATTCTCCTCATTATTGCCAAGTAGAGTGTTCGACATGCAGCCTGGTGCTGTCCTTCCAGCAGAGGAGGGCTGGAAGAATTTGGACTAGAGGGCAAGCACAAACGAATGTGCTTTTTTATTTTATTTTTTTTTTTTTGTGATCTCCACGCCAGCACCAATCATCATGATTGCTCTGTAGAGAATGGAGCTGCCCTTTAAATGCCCACTGTGGCCTGATCAATTGGGGTTTAAAAGCTATATAGGAAAAAAAAAAGGTAGAGGCCCTAGAGGGCACTTTACCATTTGTCTCTGCAAATTTAAAATCCACCTTCTTAGTAAAAAGAGTGGAAACTCTGTTCCTTCTGCAAATATAAAAAGAGGGTCTTGAATTCAACTGATGTAGAAGTGACCATCAAGACCTTTACAGAGGACAGGGAGGTCAATTTTTGTCCTGAATTAGGGTATGCCTGTACACATGGTATTTTACATTCAGTCTTACTGAGTGACGTTATTTGGCTCTGCCCTGACACAGCTCACACTTTACTCTGCATGTCATGGAAAATAGCCCAGATCTCAGAATAAAAAGCATGCAGCAGGAAGGAATTTGTAAGAAATACCTTAACATGCTTTGTGTGATTTCCCTGAGGCTGAGTAGGGAACACTATGACCTAGTCTCTCATCTCCTCTCCTCTTTATGTGCATACTGACACCTGTACCTCCTACTGTCCTACATCTATCACTTCCTCTACTCCTCGCTGTGCCTGCAACGAGGAAACACAGAATTAAAGAGGCTTATTCATTATCTGATGAATTTGGTAGAGTTGCTTCCAATTAGCTAAAGATTTTTCACTTTGGATGGGAATATTTCTCTAATATTCACTTCAGTAATTAGTAGACAATTGGTTTCAAACCATTCGGTTCTGCAAAATTCAACAACTCCAAAACGCTTTATTGACAAATCACGTAACAAAATGGACAATGGCTGAAAATGGGACTATGAGCGTTCCGTAAAATATAGACATAAAATTTATAATATTAATTTTGCAGCACACTCATTCACCTATTTTCACACCACTGTGGTTTTTTCAAAGCATTTCGGTTGCTTGGATGAAATTTGTCTGCACCGAAACACCATGTAGACAAATCTTGAATCGACCAACACAATTTTATTTTTCAGACAAACTGATTTTGCCATCTATTCATTATCAAACAAACTGAAACTGCACTGAGCCAAATGAGTCCCAGATATCTCAAACAGAAATCTTAGCAGTTAGGACTCAAAATATTCACTGTCCACTAGCCTTTGGTGAGTGAAAACTTAGCCCTGGCATGTAGAAATTAATTAATTTATTTTATGAAATCTCACTTTTTCTTTTAATCTGTCATGTCATGGGAAACACGCCAGCAAATCATGTAAGTTAGTACACAGATAATTAATATAGACATAGTCTGTTAGCCTTGCCGTAGGATGGAACTTCAGCTCGGCAATGAATCTTGCACAAAACAAAATGGTTTAAATGTTCAGATCCACAAAACTAATATGCAGCAGCTGTAATTAAAATGTCAATTTTATTCAGACCATGTTAAAATTAAGACAGTGACATTCAAATTTCATATATAACCAAAACATAGTCATAGACTAAAGGGAGATGATAAAAAACGATTGAAAAAAAACACCCAAAATAACATGCCTTACGCGTTTCACATCGTATGGTGCTCACCCATAAGCAACAAATCTATTAATGTAAATTAGTTAACCCCTTATTCATCTTCACCACTTTTTTCACTCAGTAAATACTGCAATAGTGTTTGCCGTTTATTGGAAAGAGGAAATCAGGAGCTGTTACATTTCTGACATCTCTGGAAGGTACAGTACCACTTTAAGCAAAATTAGAAAAATATAACTAATTTTTAAAGAATTTGGTTATCTTTTAAAGCAATAACATTTCAATAAGAATCTGCAAAATATTGATAAAAAAAGACCTGAATATATACTTTTTTTTTTTTAGTAAATGACTTTTCTTGAATAATTGATCATTTATTTTTAGCGAGAAACTGCAAATTTCTATATGTTCATATATTTTAAATAGGCAACGAGAAATGTATGTTCCTGTCTACCCCACTCTATACAAAGCACTGTTGAACTTTTAAACTTTGTTAGTTCCATCATTAGTTTCTTTTCTTGCGAAAGACTATATTCTATAATTACAAAGTTTTCTGTAATACATTTTTTTTCACGTTATTTAACCTTCCTGTGAACTGTTGGAGCAAAAGTAACCTGTGTTGTGACATTACTTTCATTTCATTACTTTTGTCTGTACACATCATCAGAGATGCATTTATTTGGTATGTCTATTCAGGCTTCCTCTTTAAAATGATAGTGACCTATTCATTAAATTTTAATAGTTTCAGAAATACCAGACATTCTCACTTCCTTTCCTGTCCAGATGATAATACTTCATCTGTCTGTGTCAAATGGTCATCTAGAAGAGCTGTTGGGGAATTAAGGTTACTAAAGGGAGAGGGGGGAGGGGTGGAAGGGAGGGGGACACTCTTCCACTCTACTGTATTGCAAATTTCAGTAGTGGGTAGAGTTGAGCGAACCCGAACTTGTACCGAACATTACGATTTTTTGACCCCGAGCCCGAGCCCGGACATTTCAGTAACAGTTCGGGTTCGAGTTCAGTGTTCAGCGATTTAATGGCGCGTTTGAAAAGCTGCAGGGCAGCCAATCAACAAGCGTTTGACTCATGTGCCCTTAGAAGCCATCACAGCCATGTCTACTAATGGCATGGCTGTGATTGGCCAGTCAAGGTGTAACCGAGTAAACTTGCAGAAGCCAGACACAGAGAGATGGTTGCAGGTCTTCAGGAAGTAAAAGGTCTTTATTAACATACTGATCGGGTCTCAGATGAACTATCTTTCCAAAACAAGTCTGAGGGCCGAACACATGGAGTACATGCTTTTTAAAGAACTATAACTCCTCCCATTAATAGCTCCACCCACACATACCCTTAACCAATCGGTGGCCAGGATCTGGATTTCCTTATATGGGCAGACCACATGGCTCATCCGAAACAAAGGAGAAAGGAATGTGATTTCAGTTCCTGCATTCCTGCACATGCTCAGTACATTGATCTTACCCACGTGTAACTAACTAACTGGTACAACATACACGTGTACTTACATATGCCACGTGGAAATCTCAGCCTGCTAAATTTACATTTCACCGAAATTCCATCACATTTCCCCCTTTGATGCCTCTGATACAAAATTATTCCAGATGCATCAACAATCATAGTTTACCAACACCTCTCAAGTAGCCATTGGACCAGAACAGACCTTGTAAGCATCTTAGCATCATCACAAACTCCTTCAACATTCCTCATCCTGAATATGTTCTCTTTGGGCTAGGGATTCATATATATAGACAGCCATTACATGAGCAGCTGTCTTTCTTTCTATAGTACTTTCTATGATACTACGTATAGATCTGACCACTAATGGAATTAGGCAGGGCAGAACGGGACATAAGAATATAATGAATACTACTCCTCCTACTAATGCCTTAATCCTCCAAGCTGCTCATACCAACTTCCAAACCAACTACTAGGATTATACCCATTCCAGACCTGAGTAGGTACATGCGTCAGTTTAACCATGTGGCTTGTAAATTCAGCCACTGCTCGCCCTTCATCATCTATGTGCAAACAACAGTTGCTGAGATTAAACTTTCCGCATACACCTCCCTCTACTGCTAATAGGTAGTCCAGAGGTAATCTATTTTAATAGATGGCTATTCTCATCCGAATATTTTGCTTAGCTAGAAGATTAAGTGCTTGAGCTGTCTCATTAGTGATGATCTCAACCACCACCGGTAGTCTTATAATATGGTTGAGCATATATATTGTGGTTCTATATCCATAGGTACCATCTTCTGCCCACGTAGCAGGTCCATAATAATTAATAATGCGTTGGGGAGGTCACTCATCATCTTCCCAGCTACCTATATTCAAGGATGCTTGCTTCTTTTTATGATTTACATCACAAACCTTAACTCCCAAGGTCTCTCCTGTCTCAATTGGCAACAAGAAGAAGGATGGTTTGAGCATACCTAATACACATGCCCCTTCCCAATCTTGTGGTAACTCTGAATATGCTTTCTTACCACAGATCCAATATAAATTTGCTGGGGCTTTCCAATTAGATGTAGCAGATAAGTCAAACCATACCTCTTTTAAATGGTTGTAATTGGCAAACGGATTAGTAGGCTCTGAGACATTTGAAGCTGACCACCAAGTAGTATTTTTAGTATCGGCATTATAGGCCTTCTGTCCTAGACATGTTAACTCGCCAACAGGTGTGGTATACAATGGCCCTTTCCTGGCTAAACATACATGACCTATAATAGAGGTTTTTAACCTCCACTCTGATTTACCTCTAGTACTTACTTGATGATCAGACTGAGAAAGTATTTGTTGTTCATCTGTCTCAGAACCAGGGTACCATACTTCCTTTGCCTCCCATGGCCACTGGTCTCCCATATTAGTACCTCCACATACAAAGCAATTAGTTACATTAAAACTACCCGCAATACTCTCAGCCAAATCAATAAATAGGTTCTTAACATTATGGGGAATTTTATCCTCAACACTCATCTCCTCATAGAAGGAATGAAAAACCTGATGAGTTTTAATTGCTATCATCTCAGTTTCAAGTCCTGCATATATTATGGTCCCTGGATCTACTCCTGTGCCATATATTTGGAACCCAAATAGATTTCCAAACTTATCAATAAAATGTTGTGGATTAGAGATGGTCATATGGACAGGATTACATTCCATAGATTTACAGTGTGGTGTAGTGGGCAACCTTTGGATAATCATATCTTGATCCACTGTTTTTCCCCAGGTTGCCCACCCTACACAAGACCAATATGGACAAAAGTTAAAATCCCTATTTGGGCAATCAGGATCAGTAGCTCTTTTACTGGGACATAAATATTTATCATTAAACCCATAAGTTTGTTCCCATTTAAGATTACCAAATGCATTCCAAGGTTTTCCACTACCCGAGATCGCCTTACATGCATCAAAGAGTAGAATGCCTGTAGAATGTATGGCATTTATTACAGTCCTATTTATCAAGGTCCCCTGGGAGTTACTGTTCCGAATTACCAACCAAATTGTACGGGGTTGGAATTGGGGATCAAAACATTTAAGCTCTCCTGATATTGGTTTGCACACACTGTAATCTATATCTAAATATCTACACTTAGATACAGATCCCCTACATTCATACTGTGAGTGCCAAATGAGAGTTTGGGATATTTGGTTACCTGTTTTCGTAGTCTTAATGCAGCTAACATAACTTTGTATTTCCTCACCTTCCTGAAAAATCACAAAAATGCCTAAACACATAATATAACATATTATTCCAGAAGTCCTCATTTCTACTCTTCGACCGTGCGATGGCACCTCAGCTTCCTGATTGTGAAGGCTGCAAGGATTGTCGTTCTTCTGATCCTCACTTTTCTTCACAGAGGTCCCTTTGAGACACTCTGGCTATGACACGTAGGTAGGTGGTCAGGCTTTATTATGGCCGTCAAAACACCTACTTGCTGATCTCTGTTGTTACTTTCAACTTAAGATGTCCCAGTATCTCCTCGCATTATTTCTCACTCCGACTGAGTTACCCGCTTTAACCAGATCTTGCAAGGATTTTCAGGATCTGGAACAGCTTGCCAAGAATCTGCCGCTGATTTAACACTTGAATGATGAATCCACGGAGTCACTTTTATAAGAACATCCTCAGGAAACTCCATCAAATAAAAAAAATAAAATAGAAAAATTAATGCAGTAAAACGAACACCTAATTTCCTCCCTCCAGCAGTTTCCATTTTATATGAACAGTCTCTCAAGTTCATTGGTGGAGTGGGAGTCCTTGTGTAGGGCAGGGGGGATATGATAGAAACATTTAAATATATAAAGGGAATCAACACAGTAAAGGAGGAGACTATATTTAAAAGAAGAAAAACTACCACAACAAGAGGACATAGTCTTAAATTAGAGGGACAAAGGTTTAAAAATAATATCAGGAAGTATTACTTTACTGAGAGGGTAGTGGATGCATGGAATAGCCTTCCAGCTGAAGTGGTAGGGGTTAACACAGTAAAGGAGTTTAAGCATGCGTGGGATAGGCATAAGGCTATCCTAACTATAATATAAGACTAGGGACTAATGAAAGTATTTAGAAAATTGGGCAGACTAGATGGGCCGAATGGTTCTTATCTGCCGTCACATTCTATGTTTCTATGTTTCTATGCTCTGCATGGGTTTGTAAATGGCCATGAGCTCAATGGCCTCCAAATCTGGACTGGTGTACTGGGATATTTTCCAGTGGAATATAGCATCAGGGGCTGACCAAGATACCAGATTATATGTTGACCCTGGAGATTTTTGAAGATTAAATAGTGGTGGCAAGCAGAGCCTACATCTCAAGACATGCAGAGGTCTATGAGATGATACATCATACTGTGCAGGTAATAATGATGGATTATATGATGTCACACCTCGCAACTCTATCAGTTTACATATGTCATGGTTTGCATGCTCCACATAAGTACGACAATGCCCACTGAGATCTGTGTGTTTCATATGCATAAAATGCCATTTATCTGTACCCGCGACCCCCAGGACAGACATTGCCTCTTGTTACTAAGGAACAGGGCCTACAATTTCAAGTCCTAACTATTAGCCAGACCTTAAAGCTTACTCTCCACTATGAGCCTGGAGGATCCATGACACACTCATCAGAGGTGAATTTCATCAAGGGTACTGGCCAGTGGAAATTTTTGAGCCCTGCTAAAGGGGTGCAAATAAATGTGGCAATTCTCGGGATGAGAATATCATATTGCCTCTTTATAAATTGCTGGTAAGACCACACCTTGAATATGCTGTGCAATTTTGGGCACCTGTTCTAAAGAAGGATATCATGGCACTAGAAAAAGTGCAGAGGCGGGCTACAAAATTACTAAGAGGAATGGAGTATTTTAGTTACGAAGAATGGTTAAAACATTTAAATCTCTTTAGTTTAGAAAAACGGCGCCTCAGAGGGGATATGATAACATTATACAAATATATTTGGGGGCCAGTACAAACCATTATCTCAAAATCTATTCATAAACAGGGCTATACAGCTATATAGGACACGACATCAAGACTATTCCATTTGTTGTTATTATCAAAATCTTTTTATCTCTCACATAAAGGATTCACAACTAGTATATATTTTGTATTTTGTATCTTATTGTGTTAAGTGTTGGGGAAGCACTTTTGTGTTGGTTGTGAACACTACACATTTTTTATTGCACAATTATGTGAAGCGCCAGACACACTTATTAATATTTTGTATTCATTAAAATTATAGACTGATCATTTCTTTGTCAGTGGGCAAATGTTCAAAATCAGCAGGGGATCAAATAAATTTTTCCCTCACTGTATATGTGTTTGTGTTTCCTAAATAATAATAGTGAATAAAATAAGTGTTATAAATATTATGGGGTATTAGAACCTTCTATAACACTCAGAGTGTATTTTATTATGAAGGACAAGCATTTAGGTAGTTGAAAAGGTTTTATATGAGTAGTTATGGCTTCATAGTTGGGGAAGTTGAAAGCAGACATAAGAGTTCTCCTTTTGTTGATCCAGAAAAAGACAAATAAAATCCCCTCTTCACTCGAACAGAAGAAAGCTTCCTTCTTGATTTCAAAATACCAATGACAATACTCCCCGTGGAAACTCTAATATTCATTTAATAAGCATAAACCTTCATAATCCTTTTTGTCTCTATGTATTTTTATTAGGTGGCTAATTCATTTTGTATATAGCCATAATATAGCCATAATATAGCCATAATATTGTTGGTGTAGTAAAACACCTATACTGCTCTAGTAACTGCTGTCTGGGAGAGAATGATAGGAGTTTAGTCCAAAAACATCTGCAGGGGACGCAGTACATTCCCTGTACCGTTAAAGAATCATTTATATTGCTGGCTTGATTCAGGGAACTGATTTGCCTCTAAGCTATACTGGTAATGTGATCCAATACACAGTGGTCTATTTTGGATTTGTGCTGCTCTAGTCACGACTAAATTCAGGCACCCCCCTAATCTAAATTTGCCCCACCACTTCGTGTCAAGGCCACTTTTTTTGACTGACAGACGCATGCCCTCATTGACAAATGCACTGACATACACTCATTGACAGATACACAGTTATGGCACACACAATGTTTAACCGATTAAGGACACATGACATGTGTGACATGTCATGATTCCCTCTTATTCCAGAAGTTTGGTCCTCAAGGGGTTAAACAACCCACACTTTCAATGACAGACACACACACTGACAGTCACACACACTCACTGACAGTCACACACAGACATATTCACTGGGAGACACAGACATACTAACTGGCAGACACACACTAACAGACACACACACACACACACACACACACTGACTGACACACACAAACATACACACTTTCTCATACACTCACCAATTATTATTTTTTAAAACAATTGAAATCCACCCAGCCTCCCTATCTTTGGGAGAGCTAGAGTGGATCCTGTCCCTGACTGCTGCTGGGTGGGCTCCTGCGGGCTTGGCGGGCGGGCAGGCAGGCTTCTTGCTGGCTGGGCTGACAGGGCTGCAAGGCTCCTTGCTTGCTTGGCTGGCTTTGTTGGCTGTCCGGGCAGGCGCTCAATGGAGGTGGCGAGGGAACTGAGCTCTTTCTGCTCTGCTCCCTAGCGCACCGCCGGGGCCGGAGTGATGTCATATTTTAGCTACCGGCATCATAGAAGGGCGCTCGAGGGAACAGGAAGATCTCAGAGGACTGTGCTCCCTCGCCGCCCGTCTACACTTTGAGCCAGCTGAATGCCTCGGGAGGGCCCAACGGTGGCCAACTGGCCACCTTTGGCCCCCCATCCCCCTGAAAGTGCCGTCCTAGGCAAATGCCTTGTTTGCCTCGCAGCAAATACAGCCCTGCCAATACAGCCCTGCGAATACAGCCCTGCCAATTCATATTTCATTTGCTACCATAAGATACAAACTATTGGATAATGTGTATATTGTATGAAAAAAAAAGTTTTTATAAAGTGTAAAATAAACTTTTCTATTTCCTTCTTTCTTATTTCCTAAGCCCTGAAAGCTACAATCTCTTCCTAAATTTATTCTAATCACTTTCCATATGTGAATTTGTCATATAAATACTTGTGAAGATATCAGTGCTATTAGTTAGGTGCTATTTGGCATCTACTTTGTCTATTTTTGTTTCGTAATTACTTTATAATCCGTCCTAAGTTGAGCTCCATTCCACTCGTTCCTCCATTTGAAGATGTTCATTCCATCAAACAGGTGAAGCAATGTAATGTGGAAGGATATTATTACTGTTATTATTAGCATTTTTTATAACGCCAACATATTCCGCAGCGCACTATAATGACACGAATGGGGATATTTGACAACAAGGAACTGACATAAACAATATTAACAGACAAGAGGCAAAGAAGGCCCTATTGAAGTGAACTTGCAATCTAAGAGGAAATAGCTACATAAATCAATACACAATGCAGATCCCCACAGTGAAGGAAATGGGGCTG